AATCCCTGAAGCATCCCAAAGTATTTCATTTAAATCTTTCTCACTCTATATTTTAAATCCACCTGGGAATACCTCCTATACTTTTAAGACACTCAATAAAATTCTGACTTTATCTATACCACTATGAAACACGGTGAGTGCAGCATTATACTGTGGAGCAACTTCAATTTAGGCTCACCTTGCAGCAGGATGACATCCCTAAACACCCAGGCAGGGCTTGATTGACCTTTTACCGAATTACTTTTATGTCCTCTGTTTAAGCTAGTCTAAAGCTTAATGATCTAGTCTAAAGTTTAGACCAAGTAGCAAAACTTAGAGAGGACTAATTCATGCAATCATCTTTAGTTGAAAATGAACACGAGTGTGCTGGCATGCTATCTCGAGTGGATCAAACAACTGCAGTTGATCCAGAATGCCGCAGCCTTCGTCCTCACTAGAACTAAGAAAGTGGAGAACATCAGCTTAGTGCTAAAGTCCTCCCACTGGCTCCCATATCTTGGGGAATAGACTTTAAAATACTTCTGTTAGACCAGCGGTCTTCAACGTTTTCCAGGCCAAGGACCCCCAAACTGATGGCGAGATGGAGCGGGGACCCCCTAATTATATATGTTGTATGAAATTGTGTTATATTAAACTGATCCTATAGTCACTTTATTACAGATGGAGTCATGTAACGCCCTGGGATTATTAAAGTATTTCTGATTCTGATTCCTGGTTGATGGGACAGGTGTTGTGAATGAAACGGTGCCCAGCTTGAAAGAGCTCCTGTGTGTCGCTGAATGTGTGCAATGATGACTGAAAGACATCTTCTGCCTCCATTTATCTGTTTACTACAGTATGTTTAATTCATGTCAGTGATTATTTAAAGACATTTCAATTAGTGGAAAAAAATTAAGGGGGAATATAAAAAAAAAAGTCTAATCAACCAAAATTTTCGTGACCCCCATGCGGTACATCCGTGGACCCCCTAGGGGTCGCGGATCCCCTATTGAAGACCTCCGTCTTTGACTATAAATCACTGAATCCCTTACAACCAAAATATATTAAAGACTTCTTGTCAGTGGATCAACATCCAGACCTCTCAGGTCTACTGGATCAAAACTACAATGCAGAACCAGAACCAGAACCAAACATGGAGAAGCAGCTTTTGGTTCTTCTGCTCCAATAATCTGGAATAAAATCCCAGAAAACTTTAAAAAGGCTGAAACCCCCAGTCGCTTTAAATCCAGAATAAGAAGCTACCTGTTTAAAGGCCTTTGAATGTGATATCTTTGAACTGTCGCTCTACTGAAGTATGCTACATAGCTCCTTTCCTTGACATGGATTAGTATCAGTTGCATCAGACTTTTCACTAAACTGCTTTGTTCGAATTATATTTCTCAATATGAACCTATTAATAATGAGTATTTTCAAAAAAGAGTTTATATATATAGACTCTATGATTAGAAAGCTAAAGTACCATGAAATGTTGGTTGAATAATGCTAGCTAGGTTAAAGATACTGTGGAGGATTTTCACAATTTTTTTAAAAGACCCACCCTCTCCACTTTAAAAAAAATGCACATGCACAACCCTGCACCCGCTCCTGAGAGGGAACGTCTATAAAACACGTGTGAGAGCGTGCTCGTGCCCATTTCTCCTTGTGCACGCTCTGTTTAAAAGTTGCTGTTCTTATAGCTCATACAAACTTATTGATTATTGCTTTTTGCTCTGTTGGTCACGTAAATTGTCCTCAACCGCTCAGTGCCTGCGCCATCTTTGTTATTAGTCGCAGCTGCCGGGTACTGTCAGCCTATGGCGACAATGGGCCGCTGTGACAGAAATTCCCATAATTCCCGGGTATATCTACCTCTTCTGAGGCCTTTCTACTCTTGTCATACACTTCGTAGACACTTTTTCTCTTACAACCCTTCGCCATTTTCAAAGAACCGCAGGGAGAAAGGTGAGCTTCAATGACTGTCTGAAACCATAGATATATGTTATGTTTTAAAAGCAAAAAATAAATGATCTGTTCGATAGGAGTGTTATGGTTCTCCCAATATTACAACTTTATTCTCGTAATATTACAACTTTATTCTCGTAATATTACAACTTTATTCTCGCAATGTTACAACTTTATTCTCGTAAATTACAACTTTATTCTCGTAATGTTACGACCTTATTCTCATAATTTTACGACTTTATCCTCATAATTTTACAACTTTATTCTCGTAATGTTACGAAATTTTTCTCCTAATATTATGACATTATTCGCGTAATTTTATGACTTATTCTTCTAATTTTACGATTTTATTCTTGTTATGTTACAACTTAATCCTCGTAATTTTACAACTTTATTGTTGGAATTTTATGACTATTCTTGTTGTGATTTTATTCTCATAATTTTATGATGTTATTCTCATAATATTACAACTTCATTCTTATAATGTTGCGACTTTAATCTCGTAATTTTACGACTTTATTCTTGTAATTTTATGCCTATTCTCGTTGCGCTTTTACTCTTTTCATTTTATGACTTTATTCTCGTAATATTATGACTTTATTCTCGTAATGTTACGACTTTATTCTTGTTATTTAACAACTTTATTCCCGTAATTTTACGACTTTATTCTCGTAATTGTAAGACATTATCCTCATAATTTTACAACTTTATTCTCGTAATGTTACGAATTTTTTCTCCTAATATTACGACATTATTCTCATAATTTTTTTGACTTTATTCTCGTAATTTTACGACTTAATTCTCGTAATGTTACAACTTTATTCTCGTAATTTTATTACTTTATTCTCTTAATAGTACAACTTTATTCTCGTAATTTTATAACTTTATTCTCGTAATTTTATGACTATACTCGTTGCGATTTTATTCTCGTAATCTTATGGCTTTATTCTCGTATTGTTACAACTTTATTCTCATAATTTTATGACTATTCTCATTGCAATTTTATTTTCGTAATTTTACGACATTATTCTAGTAATGTTACGACTTTATTCTTGAAATAGAAGGAAAAAATTTCTAGCCTGGCCCTCATACTCTGTCGTATAAAAGAATATTTTTATTAGTTTTGTTTCCAGTGAATATCTAATTTATTTTCCAGTGAATATCTCATTTGGTTTCCAGTGAATATCTCATTTATTTTCCAGTGAATATCTCATTTGGTTTCCAGTGAATATCTCGTTTAGTTTCCAGTGAATATCTCATTTTGTTCCTACTGAATATCTCATTTAGTTTCCAGTGAATATCTCATTTAGTTTCCAGTGAATATCTCATTTAGTTTCCAGTGAATATCTCATTTAGTTTCCAGTGA